CTTTGCCTAGCTCCGGAATCATGACTCGGCGTTTCTGGTGTGAAGTAGTGGATCCGGACGCGTTTGTAGGATGGGGTGTCCGCTTGGATTTAGAATTCTGGGGAAAGGACGAGTTGGAGTCTTAAGAGGTGAACGCCATTCAGTGTAACTTGACTCCGCCTTTGAGCTGGTGTGAGTGAGTAGCACAGAACAGCTCACAGGGTATTAGTCCCATATTAACCTGCTTTCCAATTCTTGTCATCCGAACCATAGTTCGTGGCACTAATCTCTGGGAACAGTTGGCAAAGTGTAACAGTCAGCGTGGGCCTTCAGGCCCAGGGCTTTGGAGAGGTGGCCCCATGACTTAGAAAAAGAAGCCTGGCAGTTGGCTTTTCACGTAGTTTTTTCAAATAAACTAATGTTTTAAAGACGGCAAGAAAATAACACATCTGACTCCCAAGGGGATGTATTATAAACATTTATCTTTGGAATGTTGTGTTGGTTTTCAACCCAAGGATAGCCTTAGCTGCAGTTTCTCCACCTTTTTAATTTTCCAAGTGTGTGTGTTTTTTTAATCTTAAAAATAGGAATGCTTCCTTTTACACTTGGTGGGCTTTCATGGAATGGGTGAGGCTGTTGATTAATTTGAAGGTGTGTAAGCTCACAACACTGCAGACTTTTTACAGCTTTGATCCCTGGCTGGAGCAGTTTCCATTTAAAGGGCCAGGGTTGGATGCCTGCTGGAGGATGGGTGTAAGTGCAAGGTGCTGGCTGTCCAAGTGTTTTTAATAGTTCCTAATAGGAGTTCTGCCTTGGCAGAGGAGGAAGGAGGGAGAACTGTGTAGCAACTCCACCTTGATATCACTAGCTTGACTTCACACACACACACACACACACACACACTCTGTGGGAGGTGTTAGTGAAGAAGGGGAAATTGGCTGCTTTGATAGGCAGGGGTGGCAGAGTAGGGAAAGGAGGAATATACAAAGTCTTTGGGGTATTCATTGTTTATGCACAGCAGTTTGAAGTCAAAGACATTGCTCTTTGATGTGGGTTGCTTTAAGAGTGCTGGCTAGGTTTGTTTGTTTGTTTTGTTTTTGTTTGTATGTTTTTTTTTATCAACTTGACACAAGCTAGAGTCATCTAGGAAGACGGGGGAAGCTCAATTGAGAAAATGATGCCCCCATCAGATTGGTCTAAGCCTGTGTGGACATTTCCCTGGTTAACGATTGATGTGGGAGGGCCTGGCCCACTGTGGGTAGGGCCTCTTCTGGGCAGGTGGTCATAGGTTGTAAAAGGAAGCAGGCTGAGCAAGCCAGTAGTCAGTGTTCATCCATGTCTTTGCATGTTCCTGCCTTGACTTCCCTAAATGATGGAGCTGTGGTTCAGACGTGTAAGACAAATAAACCCCTTTCTCCCTAGGTTGTTCTAGGTTGTGGTGTTTATCACAGCAATAAAAAGCAAGTAGAAATACAGCGAGTCCTCTTTTTTTTTTTTTTTTTAATGGACCAATTGAGTTGTGAGTCTAGAGATCGACTAGGTGTGACTCGGAATAAGTTACCTTATCTGTAAGAGAAAGCAGACCAGTCCTGTTCCACATGGTCAGTTTCAATCAGAGTAGCTACCTCTTCAGTAGTCAGTGAGGTGCCCCCCCCCCCATATTCTAGTACAGTCACATGAACTGAAGGCCCTTGAATCTTCAGACACTTTTAATAGTTTTCATCCCTTTCCCATTCCTCCTGTTTTTGTTTTGTTTGTTTTGCTTTCCTTTGTTTGTTTCGTGAAACAGGCTTTCCCTCCATATCCTGGGCTAGCTTGGGATTCACTATGTAGCCCAGGATAGTTCTTTACTCATGGTAGGTCTTGTGCCTTGGCCTCCCGAGTGTTGAGATTACAGATTCAGTGAGCTGCCGTGTCTAGTTAGGTCTGTATTACTTGAGCCTGCAAGAAGGGATGGAAAACTACTTTGATCATTTGGTATGACTCAAGCATTGGCCTAGTGTCCTGACTGTTTTTTGTGTCAACTTGGAACGAGCTAGAGTCATCTATGAGGAGAGAACTTCAATTGAGAAAATGCCTTCCGAATATGGGGCTGTAGGCAAGCCAGAAAGGCATTTTCTTAATTAGTGATTGATTGATACAGGAGTACCCAGCCCATTGTGGGTGTTGCCACCTCCGGGCTAGTGGTCCTGGGTACTAGGAAATAACACTGATATAATGTGTGGGACCCCTCTCCCCCCTAGATTTAACCAGCTTTTTCATAACTATTTTATTTATCTTGGTGTCTATTTAGTTCTCTGCAGTTTTATGCCAGGTGTCAATTTCTGAGATTCTACTGTAGTTACAAAGCCTAGGACACATTCATCACGTGGACTCTACACTTCTTGCTCATGATAGCAACCACCCAAGCTCTAGCGTCTAATCCACAAACTCCCACCCTGACCATGACAACCACTAAGTCTCCATCTCTATAATTTTATCATTTTGATGTTATGTAACCAGAATTGCTCAGCATACACTTTATTGAGATTTTTTTTTTATCTTAGCATTTCTCTGGAGCTTCATTCAGGTGCTTGTGTGCAACGAAGAGTTCATTCCCTTTCGCTTCTGAGCGACCATCTATTCTATAAACCACCCAAAGTTTATTCGATCATAGACTCCCAAGTCAAAATATAAACCCTTTTCTTTCTTTTTGTTTAGAAAGTTTATATTCTTGATATATTAAATGTATGTCACATACTGAGATAGAAACTGTCTTCAGAACAGCATAACCAATTTATACATAATTCTTTTGTTGGGCAAATGCTTGTGTATAAAGAATAACAGCCACGCTGTTATTAATAAAGAGCCTTTCATGCTTCTCACATAAAAAGAAAGGTGAAGTTGGCTGAGGAAAAGGTTACCAGATCATATTAGCTGTAGAGTCTACAGCCGTGAAACAAGGTGTGACAGGATTGTCTACTCTATCACTTTAGCTCTCTTGTAACTGTTTCTAGAACCCCTTTCCCAGGGTGTGTTGCAGAGGTTTCTTTGTCCAGCCAGGTCCCGTCACTTCAGCCTCAAATGAACACACAGAGACACTGTATTAATTATAAACTGTTGGCCAATAGCTAGGGCTTCTTATTGGCTATCTCTGTCTTAATTATTAACCCATAACTACTAATCTATGTATTTCTACATGGCCTTATCTTATTGGAGAACAACTGGTGTGTCCAATCCTCCCAGTTCCTCCATGTTGTCTCTTCTGCCTACCCTTCCCAGAATTCTCCTCGTCTCCTAGTCCTGCCCAGCTTCCTGCCTCTACTGGCTATTGGCCAAGCAGTGTTTTATTCATCAGCCAATAAGAGAGACATATTTACAGAAGGACATACCTCATCAAGGGTGGCTCTGCATTAGGGCTGACCCCAGGAGACATTTCTGAGAGGTTTGAAAGGTAGAGATGAAGCAGCTGTGATCAGGCTGAGAAGATTGGTGTAGGTTTTGGGGGCTGTGGAATCCTATGCAGATTCAGCAGGAAGTTTTGGCTGTTCATGGTGACAGCAGTAGCTCAGGTCACACACAGGCCTCCAGTCTCCCCTGAGCTCTTCCTCAGTTGCCAGGGTGTCTGCACAGCTGTGAGAAACTGGAGTGGAAGAGTCGGGCCTTCTACAGGTTCACCTTGTCAAGGTGGAGAGACAGTGTACTGTAGCATAGTGTGTCTCTGGTTCTAACTCATTCTTGCTTTCCCTACTTCCTTTTTCACTGACCTCTCTTCCCCACTGGCTGTTTTGTTGGCTTCCAAACCCAAACATCACACTTGCGTAGATGAGGTAATGGTGACCTGTCACATGACTATAGTAAATGTTTTTTTTTTTTTTTTCCAGATTACTCCTGGGGGTTCTGCCTAAGTGTTGCAAACAGTCACCTCTGCCCCTTGAATTGCTCAGTCTTGTCTTAGGCTCGTGAACAAGGACAGGCAGGAATATTTTTATTAAATATATTTAATGGGGGAGGGGGACATTACACAGTTTCCACTGGCTTGTGTCCTGTACCTTCAGTGTATTCACCCCATACCTTTCCCTTTCTTCTGGCTGCCCCTCCCCCTTGTCCCTTACTGGCTTCTCCAGATAGTGTCACTTCTACCTGCATGTTATATGTGTGAGTGTGTGCGTGCGCGCATGTGTATATTATATATATGGTTTTATGTCTATATAAAAGATATACAAGAGGAAACATCTGGTATTTGCCTTTTCTGGTCTCCAGTTGCCTCCATTTTACTGTGAAGGACACAGTGTCACTTCGCTCCCTGGTCATGGCCTCTGAAATCAGGAGGAATTGCATTAAACTTCTCTGTAGACACTGAACTGAAACAGAACCGAAGGCTACAGTGCCCGCAACTCCCCCTTGAAAAACTGCCTTGATTGATTTAAGAGGTACTTAGTGTTTTCATTTTACTCCTTTCCCCTTTCCTCTTGGGGAGAGGTTCCTGTGGAAATTTCCATTCAGCCAGTGAGTGGAGCCTGATTCAACAATGAACCAACCCGTGGTCTTCTGCGCTAAAGATGGGGAAGCTGAGGCTGATTACAGGACCTTAAACTCACGGTTTTTCTTTCCATGTTTAGGCTATTAGATCATTGTTTGCTATAAAGTTTTACTGAATGCCTCTGAAGCTAACATAAATCATAAGAGTGACGTGGGTGGCTTAAATGTCAGAGCTAAAAAATAGAAAATGTTAATCTGTGTGGCTGTGGGGACCTGTGATGCTTTAATGTTTGGTAATGAGAGATTTTACCAGTTCTCATCTTTTAGTCAGAGCCTTCTGCCAGCTCTGAGATTGTGCAAGCATTGGCTTCCATGGCTTATACCTGAGAGCCCTGAAATGTTCATTTGGGTCTGCCTCTGCTGATCTGACTTCCTTGAGGCCTCTGTCTCTCTGGACTGCTTTCTATATACTCTAGAACAGTGAGTAAAGATGGCCTGGGATACTTGGTTAAGGTGCCCAGACATTCTATGATGGTCACACAGGCAAGGGAAAAAAAGATTTGAAGGGAGTAAAGTCTCTATGGGAAAAATAATTTTTTTAAAAATGAAATTTCTGTATTAAACTAAGAGATCCCTGGAGGTAGAGATTGTGATTGTGGTCTCATAGGTTAGTCTAGACCTCAGTCTGGTTGTATAGGAAGAGTAGGAAAGGAGAGAAACCCAGTTTTGGATTGTAGGGTTTTTCTCCAAATTTCTCCCTGAAGGAAATCATAGGATTTTCTCAAAAAGCAGTCTGTTTTTATCAACAAATGTCTTTCTATTTTCCTTGCAGCCACACACTTATTTTTTTCCAGACTTTGAGTCTAGCCCTTGCTCTTTATGAGGACTGAGGAATGTTTGGTCATGCCAAAGGAATGGTAATGTGTCTCTTCCCATTGATAAGACATGGTGGCTTCTGCCTGCAAAGTTCTGGACTCCTGCCTCCCACGCCGATGTCTAGGCTCTCATTTCCACCCAGTACCCTGGAGACCTGGCTTCTTCACAGGTCAGATTTGCTGCTGCTGAGGGCCTCTGCGCTGGGCAGTCTTCTTTGGAAAAGCCCTTCCCTAAGCTGCACAGGGCTGGCTTTCTCTGTACCTTCAGTATTTGCTGAGACATTACTTTGTCATGGGGGCCTGCCCAGGACTCCTGTCTGAACCTTCTCAACGTTTCACCTTTACTTTCTTACTCTGATCTGTTAGTCGCTTTTCCAGCACTGTGACAGAATACCTGAGAGTAGCTTACAGAAGGAAAGTCTTATTTTATCTCACAGTTCTAGTCTATGGTTGGCTGGCTCTGTGGTTTCTGGGGCTATGGTGAAGTACAGCAGAAGGCTTGACAGAGCCGAGCTGCTACCTCATTTAGCAGGAAGCTGAGAGTGAGATAGAGAGGAGCCCAGGACCAGATGGAACTGCCAAGAACCCCATGCCCGGTGATCAACTTCTCCAGCTAGGCTCAACCTCTCTATAACACTATCGAATTACTAGTCCAACACCAGAAAATCCATGCTTAGGTCAGAGCCCTCATGATACAAACACCTCCCAGTGGTTTGGTCCACCATCTAGGGACCAAACACTCAACACAAGAACCTTTTGAGAGGCTGTTCTCATCCAAACCCTCTATAACCCCCACTGCTATCTGATATCATTCTGTTGTTGTTGTTGCTGGTTTCAGTGTTCTGCCACTGCTCTGTGAGCTGTCTATAACATGTAGCGCTTTACTTGGTTTGCAAAGTAGGACTTAGAATTAGACATGGAATCCTCTTTGCGTAGGAGATCTGCTTGGTTTCTGTCTTATTTAAAGGCTTTTGTTTTAAGTGTGTGTGTGTATGTTTATATGTGTATGTGTGTGCATCTGTGTGTCTCTGTGTTTATGTGTGTCTCAGTGTGTGTATATCTGTGTGTATTTGTGTGTCTGTGTATGTGTGTGTTTGTGTTTGTGTGTCTCTGTGTATGTGTATGTATGTGTGTGTGTGTTTGTGTCTGTGTGTGTTTTTCTGTGTGTATGTGTATGTATGGATATGTGTCTGTGTTTGTATCTGGGTGTACATGTGTGTGTCTGTGTCTATGTGTGTGTGTCTGTGTCTTTATGTGTGTATGTATATGTCTCTGTGTGTGTTTATATCTGTGTGTGTCTCTCAGTATCTCTCAGTGTGTGTATGTCTCTGTGTGTCTCTGTCTGTGTGTGTGTATTTGTGTGTCTGTGTGTGTGTTTGTGTCTGTATGTCTCTGTATGTGTGTGTGCCTGTGTGTCTTGTCTGTTTGGTGTGTGTGTGTATGTGTTTGTGTGTGTGCATATATGTGTCTGTGTATGTATGTATGTCTGTGTACATATGCACTGGGGCACAGCACCTGTAGAGATCATAACAGGTAGCCAGATCTCCCTGCAGTGATAGATTGTGAACTGCCTAATTGGGAACCCAACTCAGGTTCTCCAGAAAAGCAGCCAAGTACTCTTAGCCACTGAGCCATCTCTCCAGCCCAGTTTTCTGTCTTAATTTACCTTTCTCCCTCCTCTCTCAAAGAGAAAAGTGGAAGCAGAAGGGGGATTTCCTTGGACATTGCAGAGGATCTCTGAGGGTCCTGTGTACTGAAGGTCAAGGGCAGCCTTGACTATAGAAGGATGATTGTGGCTCACAGTTATAATGTTGAGAGAATGACAATCTTTAGTCTGGCACCATCTCCCCCCCACACCCCAGGATGCCACTGAAGCACAGATAGTTGCAGAAAGCATGTTGCAAGTTCCAGACAGGAGGCAGGAGGCTGGGGCAAAGCCCAGAAGGGGGTTCTCCTCCCCTCTCCCCTTTGGGGGCTTAAGATCCATTCATAACACCACCTTGCTTTCTATAATCAAATGGAGCACAAGGAACTAGCCTATCCAGCGATCTAGATTTCATCTGGTGTTTGCTTTGTGTTCCTTCAGAGAAACCTTCTTTCTAAACTCTTGGGATTTCTCAATGTAAGGAATTTCATATGCTTCAGGGTGGACTCATGGTTCACCATGCTTGAGGAGCAAGTGACGAAAAAAAGACCGGTTATGATTAAAGGGATGGGCTTTGAGCTGTGTGATATTTGCTCTACCCTCCCATTTGAAGAGGGAGATGGGATTGAAGTCCTGTGTCAATCAAGTGGGCCAAATAATGAAGCCCCAAATCATAAAGCCCCCATAAAACTCTGGAGCTCAGAGTTTGCTCACACTTCCAGTAGGTTCTCTGCCACCCTGATGCTCTGAGCTGGGTGCATCTTGAGGCTTGGCAAATGTGTGTGTTTAGGATTCTCCAGGCATCCTTCCAGGCGTGGCTAGCTCCCCTTGGTCCTGAGTTTTGTTCTTAATACATGACTGTAGTACAGCAGTTTCCTTGGTTCTGGAAGGCCTTCTAAAGCACTGGAGAACCAGAGAGAAATGAGGAAACACTGGTTTTATAGTAACCGGTCAGAAGCACAGATGCTTTGGGGATATTTGGAGTCAGGAGTCTCAGAAGGACTCTGCTTGGCCTAGGCTATTTCCTGTAACTTTGGGTAGTCCCTGACAGAACTGCAATGTGCCCAGGTATGCTAGGGAACACACCCTTCTCAAAGAAAGCAAATGCAAAATTAACAGTGTAGTTACTACTGCCACTAAGATATGTGACATTGGGCTCTTCTAGTTATTTGCTGATTCTCTCTTTCCTGTGTTGTCACCAGTGTTCTTGCCCAATGTCCCTCCCTTTAGTGTCCTTCCCTTTAGTATGTTATTACTCAGAATGCCAAAAAGACAGTAATGGTGGTTGGAATCTCTCCTGGGGAGTAGCTTTCTCCTGCTGAGTGAGGATGGGAGGCCCGAGCTCCAGTCAGAACTGGATTTTCTCCACGCTGTGGTACCGGTCAGTTGCAGAGTTTGTTTCTTCAGATGGATGAGGTGATGATGATTTGTTGATTTGTCTAGAACTAGAAGGATGGAAGAAGAGAGCCAGAATGATCGAGCATCTATGGGAATCGCCTGAAAGGGAAAACAAGCTGAGCCAGATGTTATTTATTGGTTGATTGAGCTAAGATGAACGTGGAAACCATTCCCAAGCTTGACAACTGCAGAACGGCTAGAGGTGGCTATAGGGAAACAACAGAAGATGGGCATGTTCTGTGTGTTGTACTGGGCTGTGGACACCCAGGAAAAAAATACCATAAATGGTGATAGAGTTGGGGTAATAGCTCAGAAGGTAAAATGCTTGCCTCGCAAGCATGAAGACCCCGAGTTCAATCTCCAAGAACCCCCCCCTTTTTTTTAAGAAAGGAGAAAAGAGAAGGAAAAGGCCAGGTATGCTTATTAGCCCAGTACTGGAAAGACAGAGACAGTTAGATCTCTGGGGCTCACTGGCTGGCAAGCTTAGCCTACGAGGCGATCTGTCTCAAAAACAAGGTGGATAGCACCTGAGGAATGACAACTGGGGTTGTTCAAATGCACACGCATCCATATCTCTCTGCATACATGTACACATGCACAAAAGAAACAATGATAAAGGGGGTACACTTACCCCCGCCCCCTTCCTGATTGCTGTTTTGTTTTTTTGTTTTTTGATCTTAAAGAATGCTTGCTGATGAGCACACTGAGTTTTCTGTTGAACCTGTTACCCCCCTCGTGCCTTCGACTGAGCTTTGAGACCCATGTCTCGTAGCCCTGCTAGTTCCCTTCCTGGGTGCAGATCTCAGGCTTCATCTCTATCTGCTCTATCCTGAGATGGGATGGGAGCTGAAGGTTGCACAAAGAAGCTCGGTGACCACTGGTAACCCCAGGAGGCCTCTGTTTAGGGAGATGAAAGTGTCACATTGTCTTTAGTTCATTGTAATTCATATTCCAGGCATCTGCAGCTGCCTGTACTGGTATCTTCTGTTCCAATACAGTCCTGCTCCCCACCCCACCACCACCCCCCCCAGAGGAGGGGGGCAAGAGG